TGCACGTTAAAAATAAAATATTATGAAAAGAGCAGAAAAAGTTTATAAGCCCCAATTTTTGAAAAATTTGTATAAAATTCAACATAACTCTTGTAATTATTCATTTTGTATCTCCATTCGTTGTTTCACTTATTTAAATTTATATAAAATTTAACATAATTCGTGTAATTGTTTATTTTGTATATCTATTCGTTTGTTTCACTTATTTAATGTATTATACATATAAATGTCCGAGATCAAATATTCGTACAATAATTGTACACATGTTGAAGTTATCTTTAATTAATCTTGACTTTAGTAATAAAGCTGTAAGACTATAATTAACAAACTGCGTGATATATTCGGATAACAGGTTTCCTCGGAAACGTCTTTCAATTAGAAACGGCACGGCAAGCAGTCTAAAGCGGTGTTTAATTATAACGACCGTCGTCGCGGTGTACCTTCGCGAATCCAAGCGATTTAGTGACCGCGTTTCTGCTCTCACATGCAATCGGAAATCAATAAGCAAACTAAAGCGTTGTTTTCAGAGCGATCTCGTTTACAGATACGTTTACAGATACTCCGATATCGCTCGTCTCGTCGATTAATTAAATTCAATGTATTTGGAATGTGATAAAGTCGGAAATTACGAGCAATTGTTATTTTATCACTAAGAAATATAATAGAACTCTATTATTGTAAATAAAATAAAATTTGATTCGCAACATGATAAAAAATATAAAGATCGGCCAATATATTAAAATTGCTCTTTTCAAAAAAAAATTTTTAATATTTGATCCTTCAAGTTCACCAACTTTTAATGTAAAAATTGTAAGTTTATAAATTTTATACAATTGTAAATATTTTTATAAGAACGAGCCTTAACGAGCCAAATGTGCGAAGGTACATTTATATGCTGGTCGTAATTTGCGCGGAATATTTGTAACATTAAATTAGGATGCCTGGCTAAAGTAGGCGGCTTCTTATCCAGGCATCCTCATTTAACACTGCAGTAGGAGATTATTTAATAAATCAGCGTCATTAGGGCACATTACAAATGCTAAAAGTGTAAAACGTGCTTGCCTGTAGGTATGTGCTAAAACTTATTACTGTAATTCCCCTTCTACGTATGCATTCAACATTGCCCTGTTTCGGTACAAATGGTATTTCATCAGGCGACGGTAATAAAAACGAAGAGGCACGTGAGAAATCTTAAAAATTATTAGCGTCAAAATAAAAAAAAATAAGAGAGAATATTTCATATGTAATAAATTTTTTTTGCGCAGAAAAATAATCAACCGTAAAACGTTGACGCATTACGACAAACATGTATTTTTCCTAAAAAATTGATAAATCGCAAGGTCAACTAATCGTCGGATTATATCCCGAAATAATTTGAAAATCTTTATAAATCGTAAACTTCGAAAAGGTATGTATTGAGAGCAGAATTTTTAAAGACGACATTCGCGGATCTCGATTGCGATAAAGTTTAATATGCACGCAGAAATATGAATCTATCGCGTTTAATGCCTGCACCTGTCGAGATAAGCACGAGGAACGAATTGTAAAACGTGCGTGTAAAAACAACCTTGGTTCGTAATCATTACTTTAATTCCCGCGATCTTTGTGCTTGTTTCGAAAATGATTTTCGATACGAACGAGAGTCGCAACGCGTGCGCTTAAATAAATCAAATAAATCACCGACATTACCGAGCCATCGCCGGCGGCTCGTCGGGAAGAGCATGAAGGAGATCCACTTACGATCACGTATGCCGTCGGAACTCGCGTGAAAAATGACGCGCTTCCGCGCGTCGAGCGACACAACGGAGAAGTGGATGAGAGCGTTACAGGAGGAAACCGCGCGAGAAAACAAGATCACGTTGAAGAAATCTCCCCAGTAGCGAGGGGATTCCGTCCGGACGGCCGCATGCACGAGGGATTTATAAACTTTCCAGGACCGTGAAAATTTACTCCGTTACCTGTCGGCGAACTTCTTCCTCGCGCGAGCTGCTTCCGCGCAAAATGAATCGACCAGGCTGAGTGGCTCCATAAATTCCGGGATGCCGCGGAATAACGCTGCCGGGACGTTGACAAATGTAAATAAGATTGAACTCGCGCCGCGCCGGTTTAATGCGCGAAATCCGGGCGAGTGGGAAAATATGGTGGCTTCGGATGTTGGATGGACGAACATATTTTTTCTCCGGAAAGTACGTGCCGCAACGTCACTCTTGCGCCGTTCGAACGGAATGTCGAATCAAGGAAATGCGATTGGCAATTATTAAGAATCGTGCGACATTAATATATTACATTGTTACGTTATTAATATCATGTCATTGATCAATTATATAGAAGGGGAAAAAAAAGAACAAGAATTTATGAATTCTATCGTCAAAAGTTAAATCTCTTCTTGTAAAACTTTAATTGAAGAAAAAGAAATAAGTAAATCTAAAACTTTAAGAAAGTAGATGCTATCGGCTTAACAGCTGTTTGTGGAAGAAAAAAGAAATTTCGGTGTTACTTTATGAAATTTGCATGCCTTCACGTAAAATGTCCAATCAATGATTATAAATAGTCGACGAGGGGCGAAGTTGTCAGTTCTATTTTCAGGGAGCGCATCAACATTAGTATAAATCACTTTGCGTGATTCCTGTTCTTCAACAAAGCTCAAATTTGTTGGCTCGCGCAATCGATAATTCTCGAAGGACCCCCAAGGACTCGATGATATAGGTACCGGATAAGGTGAACACCGTGACACAGTATTCGCCCCCTCTACGATGACCTCATTAACGATACATATGGTGTCACGTTTGTCGCCTTGAATGGCGTGCAAATATCATCGCGATACCTGACAATGTTAGACGCGTGTGCATTACCATTGTAAAATTGATGCATCTAGTATTGACAGGTCCGTCTGTTCGATCAATCAACGGAACCTCGGGAGCCAAAGGCCGGAATAAAGATGAAATCGCTGGAGCGACAATATCGCGCTGAAATTTAATAGATTCGCCGGATAGGAAGCCAATTTTCGTCGCCCGAAAGACGAGCAAGTGCATCGAGAGCAAAAAATAGACCGACGGAGAGGGACAGATAATGGGAATAAAACGGTACAAGAAAGAAAGGAAAAAAAAATAAAGAGGAGCAGCTCCCCCCCCTTGTCACCCCATGGACTCCTCGAGAAGGTGGTGTCGACGACTCCCCTCCCTCCAGGAACTTTTAATTTCCGGTACTTACCGGACGGAGGGTGGTTCGGAACGGTAACAAGCGTGCGGAGAATCGTGATGGGTTGTGGTGGGGCGGGGAGGGGTGGGGGGGGGAAGAATAGGGGACAGTCGACTTATCGTTTACAATGATAGTTGTCGCGCGGCGCGCGCGGGGATCGCAATTGAGTTCGGCTCGGCGATACTGAAAAGCTCAGCGCCGCCGGCTGCGAGCTCTTGCTGGCTCCAGCTATTGATCGGAGGCCGACCGACCTGGGTCAGAGTGTAGCGGTGTGGACTGCATCGGTGCAAGCCGGCTACGTGTGCAGCGCGCGAGTGTGAGTACGTGCACCCTTGCCGCCGTGCTGCACACACCAGCGCGGGGGCCGCGCCGCTGCACACACCGACGTCGCCAGGGTCGTGACCAGGAATTTCACCCCCTCAACCGAAATGCTGAAATAGCACCCCGTCCCCTCTTGCCTTTAGTTTATCACTGATATTTTCAGCAGCGCGGCAAAAGTTCGAGAATTAATGCAATCGATACACGAATGTCACGAGGCGACGGAAAACCATAAACAACGGAATAAGTAATATAAGATCGATAATATGTAAACGTTATATTTTCCTCGAACTAAATAATTAATTAATACTATTTAAAAAATGTATTATTGTGAAATAATTGAGATGAAGGAAGATAATACTTTATCAATATCTTTTGCAATTTTGAAAAAAGGTAAAATGTTTTAATTTTTACTTCTCTATAACACGACAAATTATTAACAATTTGATATTTTGGATTTTAAAAAGTAGCCTCAAACTTTCTCAAACGATCTATAATCAAAATTAATATTATTTGCCGTCGATGTCTGAATTTTCCGCTTCGAAAATTTGGCTACCGGAATCAGTCGAGCGGTCTCACCCCCAATAACGACCCCGGACGCTGCACACGAATACAGGCTGCACTGGCCGAATCTGTCCCTTTTAACCACGCGGAACCAATGTGAATAGCCATCAGACTTCTCTAACAGCGCCCGCTCGCTATTACATTATTTACATTCCCACTTTACTCTCACGGTCTTGTGTAAATATACATCCACTGGCCGGCAAAGAGGTTGCGATAAAATTCACGCCGGAAAAAAAGGGACAACCCGAAATGGTCCATCGGAATTCCGGTAATACCGGATCGGTCCGCTAACGCCGGAATTCGCGGCCGGGCACGCGCTTACCACAAAGAGGGATGCGCTCCGTGAGCCAGAATACAAGTGCATCCGGACGTAAGATGCATTATTGGTAGTTTGGCCCCGTTTTCATTCCGAAATGTAATTCATCGGTAAATTCGTTAAATTCCAGACATTACATGGGTAGATTACTATTTGAGAATAATTCAAGTTGGTTCACAGAGAATTATTCGTCGGAGCAATTAAGCGACCAATACAGTGAAAGAAACGTTTAGATATCGATCAAGAGAACGTCATCACAGTGCGCACGCGAGTGCTCATTGTGAAATATATTCTTAATGCATATCTTGCTCTCTTGACTGTAATCACTTCTCTCGTAATGTATCATTTTGTATGTTTAATTTTTATCTGCACCTAAATATTGAGTGTTCGATATCTCTGCGCTATCTCGCCGACGCCGACACGTGCGGCAGGCGAAATAGCAGTTGGAAAGTGTGACAGTGCATCCAGCACATTAGCGCGATGTCGTGCGACCGAGAAATATGACATCGACGGGTCTCTCGACGAGTATTTGGGTTACATGTGTTTTCTAGCGATCCGTGAATTTAATATTCGCGTCTAAACGAATAAGCGACGGGTGGCTTACCTCGTTGGTGTTCCATCGATGCCTCTGAGTTGGAAAATGTTCAGCTCGCGGCAAGGTTTCCAGATTTTCGGGAAGCTTTATCGGGTCGCCATCTGCGTGATAAATTATCTCAATTAATAGCGGTTCTCGGGCACTGCAAGATGTAAGTTGGTGAAAAACATCGATTTCGGATTTGTTCCCCCTCCCCCCCCGTCGTCCATTACATTGTTTAACGGAAAGTCTAAATTCATGCCGTCGGAACGTGCGTGTTGATTAATCGTGACAATTTTACAACCGATCGATAAGCAGATCGTTATTGTGCCATGAGCAATGAGCATTAGTGGCTGCCCCGCTCGCACATGTCGGCCACTTTAACATTACGTGCATGTGTCACTAGCACTGTTTATACACAACCAATCGAAAAGTCCCATCGATCTAAAACTATATATATGCACGCTCGTCATAAAATAGCACTCGTAATAGATTGCACTTTCCACGAACGCTGTGAACTGCCTGCCTCCCGCTAGAATGCAAAAACCCGACGGTCTAAAGATTCTTTGCCGGGAACTTTGGCGCACGCTATTTGCATAATTACTTTTTTAAATAAGACCCAAAAAGATTATCCGGATATATAAGGAAAGTAATAACAAAATTGTATGATAATAAATAAGACCATGTAGATAACAGTATTAAAAAGTGCACAGTTAGTCTGAATATTTTCTCCTCAAACTTGCATGTAACACAAGTAATGTACAAAATTTTATTCTACCAGGAAAAATGTAAAAACTCGTTGAAAAATCCGAGAAAAAACAATCGAACAACGTTCAATTGCGATATTTGCGTTATCATTCATAATATGAATAGCACTTAGCAAAGATTTGTGTCTTTATCGTGTGTGAAAAGACATAATAGAAAATTTATTACACTTTTAACAAAGGAGAATAATATGTGTCATCCGACAAATATCGTGAGATAGGAGCATGTGCATTGTATTCTTGAATTATTGGAATCCGAGATCGAAGAGTGGGGGTATTTCTGTAGCGGGATATCAAGCGAGCTGCTATTTGCTTGACAAAATGTTTCCGTTTCGCAGTTTGCGTTTCCTCTCGATGTTATTGGTATTACGCACAGGACATCTGTGCTCACTCGCTAGTCCTGTGTGATATATCGGCAATATTATGCATGGTGCGTTTTCAAAGTGTCGTCTTTTATGGCATAAATGCGACGTCATAAATCTATCCGTTTTATAATAAGACGCTTTCTGCACTCTTGATGCAATCCATTGTCTACGTAAAAGCGGAAAGATACAACCGTAAGGTTGCCATGGAGATAAAGTTCATCCGCGTTTGACAGAATTTTTGATACAATCTTTGTTACAGTTTTTCCGGAAGTGCCTTCGCGGAAAGTTTCGAAAACAGAAAAACCCACTAGAGTAGCGCGTTGGCAAGAAATAACGACGGAATTGAGGGCAAATATAGCTTATCGTATTTTTCTGTAACGTCAAAAATTGTGTTACGTAAACTTAAGTCACGGAGAGATCGTGATCAGAAAGTTTTTACGGTTATATAGCTTACAATAACCTTGTTATGCTTTAATTGCCTGCATGAATAAGTTCATTAATCAAATGCATTTTTCTGCATGAGAATTCGTTAAAATTTATCCGCACAATTAAGAATCTGGCTGTAAATATATTATATTCGCATAAATATATATATATATTATTTGCTTCACCATTTGCTCCTGTCTAATCTTTATCACAAATGTCGTAAATTATAAGAATGACCTTTATGTTTAACGAATTGCCAGAAATTTATGTCCAGAGTTAACAAGAATTATACAAGAGAATCAAATATTCATCTAACGACGCTTAGCTCTCAGTCGCTTTATACTGTATGTAATATTCATTAATTCGAGAAACTCACCGAAACTAGGCGCCATTAACTAAACTTTCAATCATAAGTATAATGCTTAAGTGCAGTCGCCGTGGTCTCCTAGATTTCATAATAGCAAAGTGACGTCTATTTTCCTCAAACTTCTTAATATTGCGTGCGTGTGTGTGTATGTGTTATCTGAAGTGTATTATTATAGTAAGCGCAAGAGAGAAATATCTTACATTTTAGTTTCAGTTTTCATAATCTTATTTAATAAAACGTAGAGTAAATAGTCTATTAATACAATATACTAAATAATTTTTAATTTATAACAAAAGACAGTTTATTGTCTACAAAATTCAATTTTGCAACACAAATGTTTGAAACAGCAATTTTTTTAAATAAATTTGATAAAACAAAATAAAACATTTTAAACATTGCTAACAAAATGTTATCACTGTAGAAACAAAGTTTACTAATATAATTACGTCAAAAAAAAAAACGAAGATAAAGAGAAATAAAAATTTCTCACAAAAGCCTGTAAATAAAGTTAGCTTTCCTTGCAATGTAAAATAATAAGCAATTAAAAAAATTGCCAAATACTCTCGTACAACTCTCTCGTGGTGTTCGCAATCAGCGGCGATATGCGAAATAAATTGCAGAGGATCTTATCGGAAGACGAGTCCACATATGACTCGCCGCGTCGAATCGTTGAGTTTTCTACTCGGGCGCATAAATAACAGATAAACTCACTTGGAGCGAGGGGCGTCGGGTAGGTCGCGTGGTAGACGACACGCTGTGGATTCGAATGATTGTAGCCCGCCATCTCCGTGATGCTGGCGCGTGCTCGCGCTGCTTGGATCTTACCGATCGTCGTGGCCGGACGTCATCGTCCTTGAACGTAGGTGAGACGGGAGCGAAGCTGGGCCCTGGCGGGCATCCCCGAGCGGACCCTTTTTCTCGGCGGGGCCGCGTGCTCGCAAGACGATCGCGTGGCCGACACGGCGGCTAACTGGCGATGATCGTGCTGCTTCGATCGGGATGAGTCGGACTCTTTTCGTCAGGACAGCTCGCCGGCCGCGGGGTCCAGGACGCAGGGACGGCACTCGGATTGGCGTTGTCCTCGGCGTTGTGAGGGTTGTGCTCCCGGATGACGACGACTCCCTCTGGAGCGGCGGGACATATCCCCCGGAGGAGCTTGCACGCGAGTCGGGATTATGTTATTTGAGACCGGATATCGATCGACAGTGTCACGACAGTGTCACGATTCCGCTTGGGCCTCCTGAATTCTCCCGGGTTGTCCCGCCTGGCCAGTTTCGAGCGAGGGTATCTCGAAGGGTTCGCGATTGAGCTTCTCGCAGTTTCGTCGTCGCCGAAGGACACACGTGGAGGTGCACGCGGAAACACGGACAGGATCGATCCTCCGCGCGCCCCCTTCTTCGTTACTACTCTCCTTGACTCTCTTTCTCGCTCTCTTTCGCTCTTTCGCTCTCGCTACCTCTCACGCTTTTTTGTTAGATTCTTCCGCTAGTATAAAAAATTGGAGCTCCATTGTTTTCTCTACACGACTTGCGGAGCCGTCTCTCCCTCTCTCTCTC